GGATAAAAATCATAACCCCTTAACTTTAACTCATCTTAACTTAAAAACTTACTCCACCTGAGCTCACCACACATTAATTCACCACACTTTAACTCCCCACACCTAAATTCACCACACCTCAACTCACCACACCTCAACTCGCCACACCTTAACCCCCGCACCTAAATCCACCACACCTAAATCCACCACCCTTAATTCACCACACCTCAATTTTCTCACCACACCTTAACTCACCTCAACTCACCACACCAAAATTCACCACACCTTAATTCACCACACCTCAACTTTCTCACCATAACTTAACTCACCACACCTGAATCCACCACACCTAAATTCACCACACCGTAACTCCTACACCCAATTCCACCACACCGCAGCTCACCACACCCAATTTCACCACATGACATGATATTACTTAATGTGGCATCAAAGGCAACATCATTTGGCATAAAATGAACCAAAATAAATAAGATTTAGATAGAGGTGAAAAAAGGGATAAAAAGGAAATACAACTGAAGAGTGTGCGATGTTATATTGTGGTGTGTTATGCTTCATATGTTATGTTATTTATTCTTATGTTATGGTTATGTTATGTTATGCCAAGTACTAAGCTAAACTCCCCTCCACTTAACCCATTCCAACTAATGTTATTTTAGCTCATTCAACTTACATAAACTATCCTTAATTTTATCGGTTGAATTTCAACCGCTGGGCGAACACTAGTTAATTTAAATAGGCATTTATGTATATATGAAGACCACTTACAATTACTTACTGCCACACTTTCAGCCTGTCTTAACCATTTATGCTGTTGCCTAAGTACTAATAAACTTTTTCACCCTTCCTCATTTCAGGTTTGAAGAAGCTGCTTGCTCAGCATCCATCAATATTCGTTGTGGACGGTGACTATGTGAAGGTGAATACTTACCAGCACGCTTCGGAGGACGATGGTAGCTATGGCGGACGACGTGATTACATTAAAGAGGCTAAAGACTATTTTAAAAATAAAATGCTACAGTATGGTATTGGCGTAGAGGTGCCGGTGCGCAGCTTATTGGGTCATCGTTCGCAGGCGTCACCGCAGGTGCGGCATATTTCAGGTACCCACTTTACAACTTCACTGAGATGTGGATGTGGTAATTGTTATTTGTTACTTGTATGCACTTTCAGGTCAACATATAAAAGAGTTCACTGAGTTTCTACAGAAGCATACTGATACCTTCAAGGTGATCGATGATCATGTGATGCTTGTTGGCTGCGATGATATGACGGACTTGCCGGCGCAAGATCGTCTGCATTTGCCACAGAGCAATATTGATACGAAAGCCACCCAGCAGATGGTGGATTTCTTTGCGCAATGCATTGAGACGAAGGGTCCGATTTTGGTGGATCAATTATTTCATTTATTGACAGCACGCTTCCCCCAGGAGCAGTGGTTGCGCATGTTCAAAACACCCAACGATCTCTCGACCTTCCTCAAGCTCTTTTCTGATTGTTTCCACATACAAGCCAATCTAGTCACGTTGTTGCAGAAGCCCAAGTTGAGTGATTCATATATCCAGCAGGCGCAGGCGCGTACGCGCGAGCAATATAATTCGATGAACAACAACATCAACAATATGGCATTGAAGAATCAATCACCACCACCGGCGGCGCAACCAGCCCTCAGCGCTGTACAGCAACGTTTGCAATCGCCGGCGTTGCGTAATTTTGCCAACAACAATACCATCAGCACTTCATCGCCACAAAGTGCACATGTGAATAACATGAGCAGCAGCAACAACAACAATTGCAGCATTACATCACCAAATTTTAAGCTAAATGCGCCTGTATCCAATATGTCTAGTCCGGTGGTAGCGCCAACCGATAATGCGTCACAAACACGATCAGAACCCAATTCAGGCTTCGATAGTTTCATACAAATGTCGGACGTTCACCTGGACAACCTTTGCGATCGCAATTGCCCAAGCCCGAATACTTGTTCTTCATACGGCCCGCCCGGCAACAATAATCCACCTCTTTTGGGTGGTCAAAATAATCTGAATTCATTGCAAAATTCCGCCATATCGACACAAGCGAACACAGAACGCCCGAACAGTCTCAATCAGACACTGAAGCAACGCGTGAACAACTTGGTTATACGTACTCTAGCCGAGAACTACGAAAAAGACAAGCAGTCACTGGCCAACCAGGTGGGTGGTGCATCTGCCGGCTACAATCCACAGAACTCATCCTCCCATTCAAGTCCCGTGCATTCCAATAGCATCAATGTCGCGAGCACAGCTGGTGGCAGCACAAACGCGAGTTCAAACTCGACAGCTGCCGTCAACGCGAACAACACATCACATTCACCTAGTCATAATTATTTTGTTGGCGATACCTGGAGGCTTAAGGTAATGCAGAATACCACAGTGATTAACACAGTGCACCGCTCCCTGTTCGTCACCGAGGCGATGTTGAAGTTTGCGCAGCAGAATAATCAGAGCATAGTCATATCGCTGGACTGCGAAGGCATTAATTTGGGTTTGAAGGGCGAAATCACGCTCATTGAAATCGGCACCACACGTGGCGAAGCATTCATTTTCGATGTGCGCACATGTCCTGAGATAATCAGCGATGGTGGCCTGAAGACGTTGTTGGAGCATGAAAATGTCATCAAGGTCATACACGACTGCCGCAATGATGCAGCGAATTTGTATTTGCAGTTTGGCATACTTTTACGGAATGTATTCGATACGCAGGTGGGTATTAACTGGGCGAGTAGTTGGGGAAAAGAACAAGTTGATCTCTATTTTGATTTTCTTCTATTATTGCTACTAGGCCGCATATGCCATCATACAGTATCAGGAGACGGGTAAACAAGTTTACAAAGCGAAATACATTTCACTGAATACACTATGCGAACAGTATAATGCCCCCATCAATCCGATTAAGGAGCAACTCAAGCAGATTTACCGTCGCGATCAAAAATATTGGGCCAAGCGGCCATTATCGCGTGATATGCTGCTCTATGCGGCCGGTGATGTGCTTGTCTTAATCAACGATCAGCTCTACGGTAATCTAGCGAGGTGAGTAAGCTGCTGCTGTATTTGATGTGAATTTCGAAGCAGTTTCAATTAAGTCTACTAGATAAATAGCATTCATTATATATGTATGTACATATTCCATTTTCATTTTCTAGACAAATAAAACCAGAGAATCGTCAGCTTTTCTCTGAGCTTTGCACTGAACAAATACTCATACAAATCAAACCCAATGAGGTGAAGACACGCAAGAAGCAGCGCAAGGTGACCACTGAGGTGACTGACCTCAAACAGAAACTAGAGCAGTCAAACAAGAGTATCGTGCTGTCGAATCGTGAAATTCGCTTGTTGCGGTAAGAGGCATACTGAAGATTTAGTAAAAGTTGTTAGTACAGTTTTTGTATTTACTTTTCATTAACAACACTTGCAGCTACATGGACTTGACCGAGGAAGAGAAGGACCGTCTGAAGCGCAATAACAATAAAGTAGCAAAGAAGTTTGAAAAAATGGAATCGGCTGGTAACCAAACTAGGTACATAGTCGCAGTGGTTCGAATTTGTAAAAAAAAAATTAACCCACTTCACTGAATTTTCAGGGATCAAAGTGATTCTGAGGATGAACAAGAACCCACTGAAAACGATAACTTTCCAAGTCTCGACTCAGTGCCATCAGACAATTCATTAACCGGCACATTTTCGCCACGCTTCAACTCTGAGCCACCCAGTTTGGCCGAGTCTATGCAAATGATGGATGAAATCTTAGCAGATCAATCCATGGATCGAGTGGTGAAATTGGATAAGCTGGAAGCGATATTGTCGGCCGTTACACAAATGCCAAATGATCAAGTAAGTAGAAGAGAAGCGAGAGCAGCGAGTAAGAGAGTGTAGGGAATAATTTGCAAATTTCGAATTGTATTTGCTGACATAATGCAATTCTGAGTGATTCTGCTTTCCTGAATCTGATCTCTGATGGACTGATGTTGGTCCCTGTACCTATAAATGTATTTGCACCGATGCTAATCTACTTGGAGCATATGTGAAAATATATATTAATTTTCCTGGCAGAAACGTACGATAAAGAAGATGGCGTTGAAGTATTTTAACAAGCCGAAACTCCTGGTCTGACTAATCCAATTTGGGTTCAAAGCGATTATAAGAAATAATAATCAAAACGCTTTAAGGAATGCCTGAGCTTATCCAAGAGATTAACTTAAATATCATCCTGAAATTCTCACAAGGTATTGCAAGATAAACTGTCACCTGACTAAAGTGGGAATTTACTCGGAAGAGCTACGCAGATTATGCAGGACTGATAATGAAACTACATGTCACATATTAGTACGATGCTTTGATGTACAAACCCAAAAGATACTTGCACCCTTATTGCGAGTGTCGACTAGTAGTAGATAAACGACTATTAGCCGATTATCGATTATCCATGGTCTTGTGAATGTCTTAACTAAACTAACTATCTTATTCTTGAGGGCGCAATGAAATTAGATGCACCATAAATATGTGGGGGGAGGGAGGGGGCAATAGATCTTAAGGACACAATGATTATAATAAACTCAAAATAGTGATAGTTGTAGCGCGTGCCTTAATTCGCCCATTCCACATTCTCTGACACATACATATTTATTTGGGTTCTATATTTTCGTTTTAGATTATAACTTCCAACACAATGCAGGATCAATTGAGCTCAAACATATCCGCCACTGATAATGTACAAGTTGTACGTGAGAAGACCAAAAAGTAAGTACGCCTATAAACATTTCTTCTAATAAAGAATTTGCTAAATATTTTTTTTTTTTACATTTTTAGCGCTAAGAATTGCAATTGTAACTGCGAACGCAGTAGTACACCAACCATACGTCTGGTTAACAATGAAAAGAAGGCTGTGAAATCGATCGACTCAGCATCGCAAACACTTAGTACTGGCGATATTGTCATAACAAAGATTTTCTTCCAAGATGAGCAGGGAAAACCTAAGGAGAAGGTGCTAACCTCATCGCCAAAACGCATTGGCGGGCCATCCACGATAGCGTCAACGACATCTTGAATGAACCACAATAATGATAGAGCGAACTGAGCTGCGAATTCTTTGTTCTAAATTAATTTCCAAGCAAACGTAAACGTGGCAGCTATGAACTCGTAATTAAATAAGAAGCGATTATGTTGGGCAATAATCAAGCAAACATATCGAAATTAAAGTAGTCACCTACATTCATGCATACATACATAAATGTATACCCGCAATATATATGTACATACATAGAATTATATGCATTATTTAAGTGCTAATCGTAAATTGTTGCAAATCTACAGCTACTTATTTTTATGTACTTTTATTTCAATTTTTATATTACTTGTAATTTCTTATACTAAATGTTACTTTTCTTTTTTGCTTTTTAATTTCTTTTTTATTCATTCAATTTGCCCATTATTTTGCACCATTCACATATGTACATATGTGTTATATATAGTAGCTTAAGATTTCTTTCAAAAAGAGTATCAACGGTGGAGCTTTTCTAAATGCATCAAAATTAGTTGCACATATGTAAATTAATAGTTCTAAGTGCCTGTATGTATTGTGGCGCAGATACCGCAAGTTCCCTTTTTTACGATTTACTAAAGAAAAATTAAAAACAAAAAAATTATTTAAAATATAAAAAAAGACTAGAAAACAAAAGAATGCTAAGATAAATCGAAGGGGTATTGTACTTTATGTACATATAATTAAACATGTATTAACGAATTTTTTATGAACGAAGTACACAAAAGTTTTTTATGTGTGGAGAAGTACTGGTATCAAAGAGGAAAGGTAAGACACCTCTGTGGAAAGTGTATAATTATAATTTTAGCCATCTCTAAATCTCTCTTCTCATAGCTAAGTGCATGAGAATCTGATGTTGATGTTGGGGATGTGGCAGCGCATGAACTAAAGTGGGACAAAAGAACTTCACGTAAAGTTGATGTCATAAAAATGTATAAGATTGTCAAAGAAAGCGAGAAAATTACACGTTTCAGTCCATAATTAACAGGAATAACTTTCAAACAACATATCGATGGATAATGTACAATACTCAGTGTTTGCAATTTTCACAAATTGGCTGACGTAAAAACATACTTGACTGGCATTAATTATTTTTTGCGACGCTCTTCTATTGCTAGTTTTCTTATCCAAAAAAAAAAAACGAATGTTGATATGATATATTTCCTACTAGACGGTGTTTAATATAAGACTTTGATATGTAAAACTGAACTTGCAAGTTTGGATGCTTCAGTTAAGTATGAATCGAAACTAAAAATTTTGCGAAAAGAAAATTTGAAAATGTATCGAAATTACATAAGTGCTGCAATATAGAAACAAATCGTTTAAATAAATGTTCGGCTTCAAAGGTTTTTATTTAAATTTGTATCTATCTATATCTAATAAAAGTTATATTTTTTCGATCAAACAATTATTTGCCTTTTTGGAACCATATTTGATTGTTTCCTTTATATAACCATTTTTTTCTTTCGATCTTAATGATTACAACTCAGCACGAAAATAAAGATTATCGCTGAGCGAAATCGGTTCGAAAAATTTTAAATTGACAAAAAATATTAAAAAATATATTTCTGGCAGAAAAAGTTATTAGACTTAATCGACTTTTATTAAGATGGCTGTTGTCAAGTCTGCGGATGTAAATGCTTTATGATAAAAATCAGTTGGCGTTAAAGAGCTTGGAGTCAATTTTGTATACTTGCGCATGATATTTTTGTAAACAATGTAGATCCAAATGTTGTTTATGTAGGTATGTATGCTTAGCAAAGAGAAAAAGTCGTTAAAGTACTGTTTTAAAATAAAAAAGTACCAACTAAAAATCCAAACTCGAAACTTTATTTCCTACTCATTTTTTGTTTCATATAAACATTTCCAATCTAAGGAAATTTTCGAGAGAACTTCGTTATATAAAAAAAGAAAAGTTCTGACCAAAATTCCTTCAAATCAAAAATGGTCGATTTCAACCATTGGCCAATTTGGCATGGACTGACCGATGTGTAATTACTGTTTAATTATTTAAAATTAATGTATGTATAAATAAAACAAATTATGGAATTATTTACATACCTCTTTCTAAGCCTCAAAATGGCAGCTCTTAGAAACTTGCAATAAATGGCAAAAAAGACAAACCATCATCGAAACCCCTTAAAAAACGAGAATATACGATATGTACGAGTATTGCATAAATTTTTTGCATACTCTTGAATATCCAAAAAATTTCAAAAGTATTTAGTTTAGGGTAAATATGAAATACAGCTCACGATTTAAGGGTACAGCTTTAAATATGCGTGAGTTGGTGTAGATGCATAATTACGGATATTTCTTTCTTTTTTCAATTTAAGAACGAAGCAACTCTTTATTTTTTTTTTGTTTTTTTTCGCTATTATAAATAAATACACTGTATAAAGTATTGGTGAAATAGCTGCTAATTTACGAAATTGTTTTGTTGATAGCCATATTAACTGAGTTACTATAAAAGATATTAAATGAATTACCTATTAAAATATAAATAAATATATGATAAAATATGTAACAAAAAATAATAAAAAATAGTATGTACTAATATCTAATAAATTATGCTCTATACTGTATTAAAGTAGTAATTTTTAAATAAATATAACAATTTAGGCATATAAGCATGGTATCATATATGTAGGTACAAACACATATGTACATATGTATATATGTGCGTAAAAGCATGCAAAATGTATGTAATTAATTTTTTTGATTGACGTAATGATTTATTATCAACTTACTTTTTTTTTTTTAGAACGGTTGAAGGCAAATTTTCATATTAATGTACATACATAAATTCATATATATACAAATATGTATGTATATACATATCGTTACCTTAATATGGAAAGGGCATATCTCACATCGTCGCTAAAATGCAAAAAAGCCGTAACTAAATAAAAATTGTTATTACATAAGACGATCTGGGGACTTATAATTCGGTGAAATGCATCATAATAAATCAAAAAGTGAATTTTGTATTTTTAGTTAGTTACGGCTTTTTGCATTTCTGCGATGATGTGAGATAAGGCCTTTCTATATTAAGGTAACGATATGTACATTTATTTAAAACGGCTTATAGACGAAATGTGTGAATTATATATCTACTTATATATGCAGAATGAACACTGGATACCCTTTATTAAAGTTTAAATAAATATACATACCAATACAATTGTAAAAAAAAATTAAATCAAAGATTCAAATAAAAAACTAAAACAATGATTTTGAGTTTTCTTGAAAGAGTCGCAATGAGTAGTAGATTATAACAAAGATCGCAAAGATCATTCTTGAAAAAATTCCACTATTTTCAATGGTATTCGCCCAAAAAACAACAAATATCATTAATTATAATGAGATAGTAAGGTCAGAGTTTTTTTTATATTATATATAACTAATATTTCTGAGTATATCTCGTAAAGCATATCTTTCATATATCTATAGCATTGACACATTAAGTTAAACTTTTGGCAAATAAAATTAATCTTTTGGCAAATAAATTTAATCTTTTGGCAAATTAATTTAATCTTTTGACAAATAAATTTAATCATTTGACAAATAAAATTGAACTCTACTACAGTACTAAACAGTGTTTGAAAAAGTAAAAAATACACTAAAAAACTGGTGATGCTGTGCTAGGAAAGCATTTTTTTTAACTTTTGACACTTAGCTTTACTGAGCCGTCGGATTTCAAAAATATTCAAGACGGTGCTTAAGGAGGCTAAGCGCAATGTGTATACCACATTGGGTTGAGATCTATGAAGTAGGTTTTGAGATACGCATATATCATATAAGTGGGCGGTGCCACCCCCATTTTCCTAAAAATTCCTGAAAAACCACTTCTTTGCNAGATCGTACTACATATTTTGAAATTGTGGAAATTATCAATGGTCAAAATTTAAAAANGTCCGGTACATAAACAATATAAATTCAAGGCCGCATTTAAGAAAAGTCTCCTAAATTCGACAATTTTAATGCCATTGCAATTAATGAGGTATCAGTTTATTTGAAAATAGATTTAGGCCCCTATTGCGAGTGTCGACCGGCAGTAGAATATAAATTTGTCGATCGAGTCGATCATCTTTTATTTTGCTATTGTGTAACTTGATCGATAAAAATTTGTACTATTGTGAATGGGTGACAGAATTGTAAACAGCTGTTTGGTTGTTTACATTTGTTTCTTTAGTATTTTATTTACATCATTTTTAAAATAATTGCTTTTATTATAAAATTTAAAAAATGGACACAGTGGAAGCCCACAGATTAGTAGAATTGGCTAAAGCAAGGAGGGAATTGCGAGATTCGTCGGATCCCTTGGAGTTGGAAGCTGAAGTGTATGCACATATGTGAGTTTTATGAATAGAAGTTGCGTTCCCGATGCTTCACGGTTGTTAGGCTTTACATGATTTGTAGGANTAAAGGCCTATATATCCTCTTCTCAGATGGCATTAGATCTTTGAAATTGAGTCAAAAATAGTCATTCTAAAACTCATAAATCTACAAAACCGTATTAGTTAACCTAAATCGACAGGTCGCGACCTCTAAATGACATTTAAATATCTATAAAAATACGCAATAACATTTCTCATAAAAACGCATAAAATTAGGGGGTAGGGTCTTGAAATTTAAAAAAAAAAACATTTTCGATGAGCACCCTAATGTACATAGTATGCACATAAATATTTTTTTTGAACCTGCGTTTGATAATATATTGAGGGAGTTCAAGATTTGTAGCATTTTAGATGTTTTTTATCCCATTTGGCCATAATGCGTGGTTTGGTTGAAATAAAATGCGCCAGATAGTTTGATGAATATTTGAGACCATGCTGTGACAGAACTGTTTGAAAGTGAGCAGTCAAATCAACAGAAGAGAAAAACCAAAAAACACTTTTCAGCTATCCTGGAGGTTAACTCTTGATATTGGCGTAGTAAAGCTAAGCGTCAAAAGTTAAAAAATGCCTTCCTAGCATAGCAACAGCAGTTTTTTAGTGTATTTTTTTACTTTTTCAAACACTGTTTAGTACTATAATAGATTAAATTTATTTGCCAAAAGATTAATTTTATTTGTCAAAAGATTAAATTTATTTGCCAAAAGATTAAATTTATTTGCCAAAANCCCACAGATTAGTAGAATTGGCTAAAGCAAGGAGGGAATTGCGAGATTCGTCGGATCCCTTGGAGTTGGAAGCTGAAGTGTATGCACATATGTGAGTTTTATGAATAGGTGTTGCGTTCCCGATGCTTCACGGTTGTTAGGCTTTACATGATTTGTAGGAAAAGGTGTTTTCCTCATTCATAAACTTTATGGAAGTTTAAGAAATACGGTACGGTTATTTGTACAATGATGTTGGGTATTTGTGTCCAAACGCGTGACCCGAGTTTAAAAACTTTANGCAATAGGGGTGTTAATTTTAGATCGTACTACATATTTTGAAATTGTGGAAATTATCAATGGTCAAAATTTAAAAATTAAGAGAAATATGGTTTTTTTTTTTTATTTTACCCCATAAAAAATCCCAACAAGCCAAGTCCGAAAATAGATTATTAAGTACCATTTTAAAGGCCTATATATCCTCTTCTCAGATGGCATTAGATCTTTGAAATTGAGTCAAAAATAGTCATTCTAAAACTCATAAATCTACAAAACCGTATTAGTTAACCTAAATCGACAGGTCGCGACCTCTAAATGACATTTAAATATCTATAAAAATACGCAATAACATTTCTCATAAAAACGCATAAAATTAGGGGGTAGGGTCTTGAAATTTAAAAAAAAAAACATTTTCGATGAGCACCCTAATGTACATAGTATGCACATAAATATTTTTTTTGAACCTGCGTTTGATAATATATTGAGGGAGTTCAAGATTTGTAGCATTTTAGATGTTTTTTATCCCATTTGGCCATAATGCGTGGTTTGGTTGAAATAAAATGCGCCAGATAGTTTGATGAATATTTGAGACCATGCTGTGACAGAACTGTTTGAAAGTGAGCAGTCAAATCAACAGAAGAGAAAAACCAAAAAACACTTTTCAGCTATCCTGGAGGTTAACTCTTGATATTGGCGTAGTAAAGCTAAGCGTCAAAAGTTAAAAAATGCCTTCCTAGCATAGCAACAGCAGTTTTTTAGTGTATTTTTTTACTTTTTCAAACACTGTTTAGTACTATAATAGATTAAATTTATTTGCCAAAAGATTAATTTTATTTGTCAAAAGATTAAATTTATTTGCCAAAAGATTAAATTTATTTGCCAAAAAACTAATTTTATTTGCCAGAAGTTTAACTTAATGTGTCAATGCTATATATCGGGCATATATGGACTATTCCTTAGAATCATATATTTTTTAAAGAAATTTTTTATTTGGCTACAGGTCGCGCTAAATTTAAGAGGGCTTTACTTTTAAATCGTTGTTTTGTAAGTAAAATTGCCTCCAAAGTATCTAAGTATGTACATATGTATGTATGTATGTCAAGCCTTTTTCAGATTTCTGTTTTTTTAAATGAATTTTGGTAAAATCCTCTATATATTGAGAAATATATTTTTTTTTGTCAAAATAATGTCAAATATAAACGTCAAGTGAAAAGTGTTATTGTTGTTGTTGTTGTAGCGGCTTCCAAACCCCGCTCGGGTCGGCTCTTCCATCAACCTGGTCGTCTGTTACAGCTAAGGGGAGGGTCAGGAAGTGCGCGACTTTAACGGGATTTGTCTATAGGGACATAGGCGTTAGCTGGGTTGGTTTATGGGGGCATGCGAAGAGGTGCCGTGAGTCATGTATCTCGTGCATGTATGCGAATCTCCGTATGCCGGGCATTGGTTGGGCACATCCTCGTTAATTCTGCTCAGGTATGATTTTAGCCTCCTGCAGTAGCCAGAGCGAAGTTGGGCGGTGAACGGCATTCACAGGGAGTCGGTCTCGAGTTACATATATAGACTCTCGACCGGTCTGTAAGCAGTTGGATCCAGAGGTGGTTTGATAAACCTCTGGACTTCGTCCGTCAGTTCGTAGAGGTGCTTCCTGACGTGCCTTGGCGAGGGATCTTCTGCAAGCAGCTGTCTATTTGGGTGACCACGTCTGTGGCACCCTACTAGAAACTGCTTACTGAGTATTGAGTTAAGCTCCTTGATGGGGAGCATCTCCACCTCGTCGTGTAGGTGGTGCTGGGGCGACATCAGAACGCATCCGGTCGCTGTCCGAAGTGCCGTGTTCTGGCAGGTCAGTAGAAATTGAGAACTGAGAAAGAGAAATTTTATTTAGACCATTCTATCACTTTTCGGAAATCAGTTTCAGAAACTAAAGTTGCAAGGTGTACAAATTGATTTCGGAAATATATTTCAACTTGCTCGTGTTGCAATAGCAATTGTTATTTCTGCTCCAAGTGCTGTCAAAGTAATGCAGTGTTGCTGTGTACCTCTGATCTCGAGTTTGTGAGAAATAATAACGGATAATTTAAATAAAATATCAGAAATGCTTTCGATGAATTATTTTGCGGAATTTAATTGTTTAGTTATAAATAATAAATTAATCTTCAAATTGAAAATAAAGTTAACTATAAACAACAGAAATAACAAACAAATGGCGAAGCGGCTCACGGTTGCATTTTAGTATCGAGAAAGATTGCCAGAAATTCATTCGATCTGTGAACATCCAAAATGCGCTTTAAGAAATCTTCCCTTCAATTTGCTTTTGACACTTTACATGCAGGGGGTGACTGCTCATTGGAGTGATTCAAAAAAAACAGTGAAGTTGGAATTTTAATGCCGAAACCCCCAGGGATTGTTCTATACTAAAAATACTATACCCATATTTTTTCGAAATCAAAAAATATTAAGAGAATGCTTAAAGCGCTCAAAGATTTTCATGTTTTTTATATGGAAAAAACAACTTTTCATTGAAATGTTATAGAATTGTTGAAAAAAAAAATTCGATGGGAAAACTCTGTTTCTCTTTAGGAGACTTTCAGTAATATATCCAATTTTTTATTTAAACATTTTTTCATACTAAAGACTTTTATTGGCCCCCCCCATCGCATTATCTAAGGGTTTTAGCGGGCCTATAAAACATAGAAAAAAATGGTTAAAGAAACAATTGGGTATTATTACTGGGAATCTCCTGAAGAGAAACAGGGTTTTCCGATCGACAAAATATTGATTTTCATGAATTCTACACAATTTCAACGAAAAGTTGTTTTTCCCCATATAAAAATACATTGAAAACTTTGAGCGCTCTCTAAATATTTTTTGACTTCAAAAAAAACAAAATAGGGGTACAGTTTTTTCGATATAGAACGATCGTAGGGGATGGCGCTATTTGGTGTAGGACTACTATAACTTTTTTTTATAAAAAATTAACGAAAATAAATTAGACTAAAAAACTTTGCAGATATTGCGGAAAATTCTCTGTGCCAATACTTTTGTCCGGCACTGTATGTATATGTACGTTTTTTCGTTAATGCGGCAAATTAATGCACACACGAAATACCTTTTCTGAGCAAATTTGCTTAGTTGGTTGTGGATGAGAGCACTGGGGCCCAGTCAGCATTTCTTCTTTTGCTGTCCGTCAAATCCGCCACTGGATTTTAAGTACGGCCAGTCCAGTCCAATCTAAGCGAATAGCGCAAACTTATGTACATATGTACAGATTATAAAAATGAAAATAAAACAACATATCAAGTTTCTTTGAAAATCACTTTTGCTTGTTTAATTTTCATTTAAAAAAGTAACAAGTAACTTTATAAACTTTACAAAAGGAAATGAATACAATTTACAATGACGCCTGAGCACATCTGTATGTACATATGTATGTATGTTTAACCCGCAGGCACGTCAGTTTGATCATAACAATAATATTTGTCGCTTCATTAAAAATATGTTTAAGTATAAAAAACTATTAACAACACAATTAGGAATTTTTCGCCGTATAGAACATATTACTAACGCATACAAACACACAAATCAACGTTTCATATTTTTGCTACTCTTTTTTACATTTCAATTGAAAAAAAACCAATTCACAAACGTATATCATAAAAATTTATTACTAATAATAACAATTTTATCGTAAAACAGGCACTACAATTTTTTATTAGTTAATGTTTGTAAAATTTCAAATGAATTTAATCTATTTTTTGTTTTTATTTTTTGTTGTTGTTGTTTTTTTTTTACGTTGATAGCGGACAGTCCTTTTGTTTTTACTTTTGCTACATTTTTCTTTTGTTTAAAAGTTCGCTTAATTTATTTTTATTTCTTAATTAAATATACATAAATGTTTCTGTGCATGCTTTAGTATATTTATGTGTGTACATATGTATGTATGTGTGTCTGGTTACATGTGTATGTGTAGCAAGTCGGTAAGGGTTAATTAAAGTTGTTTTCGTTTTTTATGTGCTTTGGATTGCCTTCGTCTCAGCAACGAACTTTCAATTTATAAAAAAAAAAATTGTTTACGACTAACTAATTGTGTTGGTTGGTGTTGGTATGATTTTATATTCTTTTTAATGAAATTTAATTGGTTTTATTTTTGGTTAATTGATTTTGTTTCTTTATATGCACCTAGTTTGTATAGTTTAGTGGGTTTTTGTGTACCTACACTGCACATAAGGTATGTAGGTATAGTTTATACTTATGTATGTATGTAATATGTTTCTTCTTTCTTCGTCATTTAACTTTTTGATTTATTATTTGCTGGTAACTAAATATGTATGTATGTATCTGTGTTTTTAATTGCAATGAGATCATGTCATATAGCGCATAATTTCGCGCAACGCATAGAGCAGTTCGGCCTGATTGCGCGCCTCCATGATCATCAGATTGACGTGGACCTGAGAATAGAGAAAAAATAGTTTTAGACATAAATGATTTCTTCTATGAGGTTTAGGCCAGACCAGTTTGGTCCAGGCTGTACAGGTTTATCCTATCGCCTGTTGGTAGAACTACTAGTTTAGCCTGGGAAAAACTAATTTGTTTTAAAATCGGGTTTGGTCAGTATCTATATATATAAAATTCAAATTATGTATGTACCTATAGACACACTTGGCTCCTAAACGAATAAGCCGATCGTAACCAAATTTTACACACGCACTGGATATCTTCCAGGGATGGTCACAGGGTAAAAAATATTTTGATATATAAAGGGGGCGTGGCCCCAAAANTGTACATATGAAACCATGAGAGCCAGAGAAGGTTATCTACAAAAATAAAATTTGAGTAATATGAGAAAAAAGGATCTATAATGAATATGGCATTTTACTGGCATGTTCATTGCACCTACGTGCCATTAAATTCGTTTTTTAAAGGTCAGTTAGGCTACTCTGCCTCTTAAGGTTTCATATGTACAGTGGGAAGCAAAAAGTGTACTCACACTGTGATATTTGTTAAATATTTGGAAGGTTTTTAAAGTTAAATTTTTTTTGTTATTATACTTTTCATAAGCATGACATGGTTTAACAACTTTGGCCCGATGTTTGTAAGTACCGGAATAGAAAGAGATAGACCCACTAAAATGTATACTTATCAGCCTTATCATGAATTTTCATTCCGTGTGAACTCGTTCACATTTCGGTTTTGCAGTTCAACTATCGTATGTTGATTATTCACCAAGCGAAGAATATCAAATGCAGTAATTTGTTAAAGTAAAATTTTCTAATGTTCATTAAAAGTATGAAGCCTTCAGCATAGCCGAAGACAGCTCTTACTTGTTTTTTTTTTATAAAGATACGGTTCATGTTTAACCCAGAACCATATGAATCAAAGTTTTAAACTTTATACAGTGCTTAGAGAAATGTTTGGTTTTGGTTTTATCCATATTTTTTAGTATGAACCATATTTTTAATAAAAATTGCCAAAAAGTTTAACTTTAAAAATATAGCAAATTTCTAACAAAAATCACCATGTACTCATATTTGCTCCCCACTCAATGTACCTCTCTGAAGGAATATTTTAATATTTTTTTTAATATTGTTTTTGTACCTTTTCACTGTCTTGCAGTTCGACGAGTATACTATCATAATCCTTAGTGGTGATACGCTCTGGGAAGCAGCAGGCTGTTTTAATGAACATTTTCAGTGGTCGATCCAGTAACTGTAAAAATAAATATAAAATTTAACAAAGGTCGAGAAGGTTTTTGGAACACATATGCGCACATATAAAACAATAATTTAGATATATATTCAGTCAGATTCAAAAGGTAGCATACACCTTGTTCTAATATAATATTCACAATGTTTTTAATGAAAATTTATTTTAATATTTCTTTATCGAAATATAGTTTCACCCGTTATATAAAACTCACGGAGATTCAACAAATTTGTCATCAAATCAAACCTTCAAACATTGTAATCAGAATTTTTACAAACTAAAAAATTTATTTTTGTATGGAAAATATGTGCGTGCTACACAGTTAAAAAAAAAATATCAGAAATCAACAGAAATTTTTAGCCACTTAAAACTTGCACTCTATTGTATTGAAATTAAATGGGCTTCAAAACCGCATACCCCAAAAGTTTGTAGAAAATTTCAGATTTAAATGTTTGAAAGTGTGAAACTTCTATTCATCTGGTATATGTTATAGATTAAACTACATTTTCATAAAAATAAATTAAATTTTTTTTTAATAAAATAATTGTGAATATTTTAATAGAACAAGGTGTATACTAACTTTGGACAAAAACTTTGGCTCTGACTGTATGTATATGTACATAAATACAACACTTATATAAGTATGGAGATATATATTTATATACTGTTAAAATATTTTATTTGTAATTTAGAACACGCGCTTATTTTGAACTTTCTTTCAGTGCATTTTTATTTTTTATAGGTCCTTACTTGCTTGTGGGCATTGAGTATTCTGTCACAACATTTTTGTCTAAATATTGCATCTCTTCAAAGATTAATTGAAGGATTTGATGTAAATAACGTCTGTGAGTGTTTCCATGATGTCGGTCGGGACATTCGTATGCCTTGAGAATTAAAGAAATCATACGAAAACGGAAGGCCAAAAAATTAAGAAATTACTACATTGTAGCTTTTATACCGCCCTTTGGCTGACAAAAAGATTAGGTGTGCTTTGAACACTGGTGTCGGGGACAAGCGATTAAGGAGGTCATAACAGACGTGACAAAAACAGAAGCGGTTTCAAAGTGCATGTAAAAATAAGCAAATCTGTGCGAATCCTGTGAGGTTTTCCTTTCTTAAATTTTGTATTTAACATTTCGGCCTTTCTCTCCACCGTTTCGCGTTTTCATAACCTCCTTTCAATATCTGAATACGAAATTTGAAATTACAAAGTCATTTGAACCCATTTACTTACATTTTCGGTTTGGTATACACAGGAAAATCGACCTCTTGCTGCCAGACTTATAGAAAACGGAAAATATGGAGAAACGTATTGTGGAACAAACCGGATTCGGCGTTGTGCATCCTCTGCAGAAAGTACTTGTTGGTATTCACCACCGTTGAGGTATTGGAGCTATAGGACCAGTGGGACCGTTTTGATCCAAGTGGATCAAAAGTGATGGGGGTAGTCGGGAATTTTTGGGCACGGGGTATTGTTGGACAGCAGGATATTTTTCCCCTAATAATGATTGACAGTATCAACCAACTGTCATCAACTCGTCTCATTCTGAGTTAATTTTCCATAGTAGAGCACTCGACGTTTGTACACGCAACGTTATGTCGCTGCCATATCAAATAGAAATTTGATACTTCGAAATTTTTTTTTGTCACTTAGTATGTACTTTGTTTATTTTGACAAGATTTTCCGACGAATCAACTCAGTTAAATATATTTATAATACTCGTGGACTCCGACGCAGAAAATAATTTTGTATAAAGTTTGTATTGTGTTACCTACTTATACGCCACGATTTTGCAAAAATGAGAGTTCGGGGAATTTTTGGACACTGTCTTCGGGGTATTATTGGATACTTAGATCTTGACATTTGAGGGAATTTTCTTGCATAAATTCTATACAGCATTAGTTTTTCGGCAATTGATAATAGTTTTTTGGACCGATAAATTTTAGTTTAGCCAGAATGCCGCTTTCTTACGCCGGGTGTTCACTACGATTCGGAATAATTTAAATCGTAATTTTTCGTTCATAAATAAATGTTTTCCACCAATAATTTTCATTTTTTATCGACTTAAAAACTGTTCAATAATTCCCCGAGATTTTTCAAAAGTACAAAAACACAATTTTTTTTCCACTGAAATAGCACGCCTAATTTAATACAATTTGATCAAAGTGCTGATAGCAAAAGGATGGTTATTTCTCCGACTACAAAACCAAGCTATAAAATTAAAAAAAAGGAAGTTTTTTGCGAGTTTTCGACCAAAATAAAGGTGTGTCTAAGAATACCCCGACTTGTGATACTTTTCCAATCGTGTAAAAAAATTCCCGTAGAAGTCGGAAAACTTGTAAGAGATCTTTACAATTTCTTCGCACATAGTGACAAAAGGGTGCATGAATTTAAGTTTCAAAACTACTACGTTGGTTATAAAAAAATGTTTATTAATTTCATGCAGGTCTAATGTCGTGAATACTAAACCCAAGCTCGAAAGGCTGGTTTTACTTATGAAAAAAAATCCCATCACTCAGTTGGCACGATCTCTGAGAACAAAATCGTAGAGCTGTTGATAGTTTTAATTTTAAATAGATTTGGCTCACAAACGCCTCTTTAGACAGTCGGAAGTTTTTAATAAATCTTTTGACAAATTTCCTTAGTATATTGTATACATGTCAAAATATATGCGGAAGACTATACTTAAACGCTCTTAATCGTTTTATTCTCCTGGCCAGTTTATTAAGCTCTCATCCTCTGGAATGAGCGTAATAATACCAAATGAAAATTCGTTTGATCAATACTTTCGACCACAGTCTAAGATCGAATGCAACTCATAATAACGGCCCTATTGTCATTTTGGAGGAGGTATCGGGTACCGAAAAAGTTAAAATAATGCACTGTACGAGCTTTGAAATGATATGAATATCGATATAAAATGATTATGCTTTATTGGACATGTCGTACGATGAAAGGATCCTTTTGGCGCACACGGTACGTAAGAGTGTACACGAACGCATTGAAAAACAATGAACAGATGGATCCGTCTAGATTTGGTAAGAAGAACTGGTGTCGCTCGAAAAATAAGAAGAAAATGAGTTCGCATTTTTATTCGTTTTCATTTTGGCATTTCAATTCGTATTCGTATTCACACGAATATTTTTAATCATATTCGTGCCATATATGTTTTTTTATACCCGAGCGCACTTGTGCACAGGGTATTATGACTTTGTTCGCATAACGGTTGTTTGTAACAGCCTAAAGGAATCGAGATAGATATGGATAAATGTATACCTAAATGATCAGAATGAAAGGAGCAGTCGATTAAGCCATGCCTGTCTGTCCGTCCGTCCGTCTGTCCGTATACACGATAACTCGTTAAGATATCTCAACGAAATTTGGTATATATGTAGGTTGCCCTTTATCCAAGGTAGGTTGCTATTGAAAACGGGCGAAATCGGACTGTAACCACGCCTCCCTCTCATATAAAGGTATTTTCGAAAAACTATGATATTTCAGTAAATATTGGATCCAAATTGTCGAAAATTAGTATGTGAAGTAGTGCAAAATGATATTATTGTTATGAAATTTTGGAAAAGGGGCGCCCACTTATGATGAAATACTTTATCTTCGTAGCCGCTTCACCAATCCTTACCAAACTCGGTACGAGCCTTGCTTAGGATCCAGCTAAGAAATTTGTTGAAAATCTTTGAAATCGGGCAATGGCCACGCTCACCTCCCATATAACGGTAATTTATAGAAACACGAAATAAAAATAATATTGAGATTTTTGAAGATATTTGCAAATCGGTTAAGCTCACGCAAGTCTTACAGGGAAATTTTGTCTTTCAATTCACCACAGTCCTTCGAAAGACAAAAGTCTTTCGTCAATTGCCAATTGTGACTACTATCTTGAAAGCTCTTGAAAGATTTATTGAAAGATCTGCTAACGAAAAAGTCTTAGCGTTATGCTACTGGCCTTTCAGCAACTAGTTTTTTTAATTAAGTAAAAAATATATATATTTTTATTTTTAAAACAATAAAAAATAAAATGTCAATAACATATGTTTTTAACAATAAAATCGAGAATTAAATTAGAAAATAATAAATATATCAAAATAGACGAAAATGATATTAAAAGTAAAACAAAATCTAAAAATTTATTGAAAAAGATAATAAATAAATAAAAAAAAACTTAAAAATTAAATGATATAAAAACATATTTTTCTTTTTTCTAAGCGTTAAAATAAAATAAGACTAACAACAGAAATACAAATTTTATTTAAAAAAGAAAAAATTAACAAAATAAAATTCTAAAAATTAAATTAAGTTAAAAAAATATTTTTCTTTTTGAAACAATAACATCTAAGAATCAAAGAAAATGAAACCAAAAAAACATTTATTCAAAAAAGAAAAAATAACAATTTTATAGAATTAAATAAAATTAAAAAATGTTCTTCTTTTTAAAAGAATAACATCTAAACATTAAAATTAAATTAAATTAATAAAGAAAAAATTATTTTTATATATATGTATATTTTTCTTTATAAAACAATAAGATCCATAAATTAAAAAAATTTAAAAAGGAAAAATATGTAAATTAAAAACAAAATAAAAAAATTCCGTTTACCGAGACTCGAGCTCGGATCTCTCGAATGGCACGCCTGTGCTTTGTTCACTCGGCCATTGCGATTATCAGAGCGACGAGACCTAAATTATATACAAGTGCTTTCATCCAAAATAGATTTTCACCACGAATGGTAAATGAGAAAGTTTTTTTCGAACTATTTTGCCAATGGTCTTTCAATTGCATTACGGAAGACTTTTTACTATCTTAGCCAAATTTCTCTGTTAATATTTTTGGGGAATATTTTGGTGAAAGTCTTAAAATAAAATAAAATTTAAAATTCCGTTGGAAAACGCACAAAATTCTTTTTTGGTGAAGCCTCTAATGTACATCTATACTGTTCTATAAAATTGATTTTATGGAAAATGTTTGTGCCGCTTTGGTTCTCAAAGTGTTTGGCCGAGCTTCTGCTCCAATTTGTGGCGTGCGCCACACAAAGGGGAGGGACCTACAGTTTTTCGCCGTCTTCGAACGGCGATTGTATTTTGATGAGAAGCTTTTTTTTATGGCAGAAATGCACTCGGAGGTTTGCCATTGTCTACCGAGAGGCGACCGTTATTAGAAAAAACTTGTCTTTTTTTTATGTTGGTCGGAAACTGGGCTTCAGCCCAGGCCCTGCGAAATAGTAGCGCGCAATGCTAATCATTACATACAAAAGCATATAAAATTTTTAAATTTATGTTAGTCACACATAAAAATACACTAGATGTTGTTAAATACATCTATTTTACATTTTGTATTAATGAAAGCATTATTAAATTTTTTGTGATTTAAAAAAATGAATGAAGCAGGAACACATCGAGCCATTAACGCCTAAAGGACGGAGCGAAATTTTTTTCAAAATTTTCTCTTGATGCAGAGAAATTTTGTAAAAAAATTCTGTAAATAAATGTCCGTTGGCGGTTAGGGCTCAATATGTACATATTTATGTATGTACTCCGAGTAAAAATTTCACTCCTTTATAACAAATTCTGAATGTCCAATTGGAAGCATCTTGCTTCGACAATTTCTCTACCAACACCATGCCATGAAGCCTTGCGGACATATGCACATACACGTACACGGAAAAAAAGTTCGGATACACACGTACGCATTTATTCACCTGATTGACTTCACCATAATCGTAATCGTCATGTCGTATCCCATAGATGCATTGAATGTAATTCCAAATGGCTCGTCGGAACTTCGACGTATCCACATTGCGGTAACCGCCCATGGTGAAGTACGTCAGATTGTAGGCAGCACGAAATTTTTGGTCCAACAGTGTGCCCACATCGCTGTACAGACTGGAGTGAAAAAGAACAAGAAAAAAAACAAAGTATATTTTAAATGTTTCTGCACTCCAAACGCCTTAAAAGTTAACCATTTACCCATTAACCAGAGAGTAGCCATGATCGTCCCACGAGTAGTCCTGTACGCGGAAGGTGGAGGGTATATTTTCGGCACCTCGACGTGCGAAGTCTTGATAAGTGAAAGTGGGATCCTCGATGTAGTGCGAGATGATCGGTGGTACTTCGACGGTGGCTTCGGTAGCAGCGGCGGGCAGTTCGGCGGTTTGCATTTCGACACTCTTGAAGCGATTACTCAGCTCTGCTTCGCTGCACTCATCCTGCTTCTGTGAGAGTACTTTCATGCGCTCGACCAGCGCTTCCACCGGCACATTTGGTTGCGGGGAGCCAGAAGTGGCTGCAAATACAAAGAATTTTTTTTATTTAATCTCCCCAACACCCTAAAAATTGCAGTTTATATGCTTACGAGTATGTCTCGTGACGCCATTGTTGGCGCCACCGCCGTTCATGGTGATATCGGTGGGCGTGGACGCATTGCCGCTAACATTTTGCAAATTGTTATTGTATGGCTGGTGGTTGGTATGATCAAGCACGTTATTGTTGTTATTGATCGTTATCTCACTCAGGACAGTCTTTTGTTGTTGGTGGTGGTGCTGCTGCTGCTGCACCAAAACGTTTGGACCGGACGGCAACGACGTCGGCAGTGGCATCTGCTGTGCTGTCGTTAACGGCTGTGCGGTAGCTGGTAACGTTGCCGGCGCATTCTTCAACCTTGGACTAGACAAGCCGTCTAGTTTTTGTGTCAGGCCGCAGGAGAATACAAATGAGGAGAGCGAATGGAAATGTGAGAGCAGAACCATTGCGTGCACCACCTCGGACAGAGACCAGCTATTCTTGCCTTTTGTGAGGCCCTGCCAACGAGTGGAGGTTAGATTACAAGTATGTACACACATAGAAATTGTGTTATGGTGTGTTAAAGATATTGAAGCAAAAAAGTAAGCCACGTTTCCTAATGATACCTACCTCGATGTGCTCCGTGCGCAGCAGCCACGGCCGATGCGCCAGTATTTTGTTGATATCATATATGGCACGTAATTTAGATGGGATATAATCCAAGCCATTTAACCACTCGGCCTTACCGCCCTGATTGATGAACTTCTTCTCGTACATTTTCACCAGATAGGGACATTGATGACGCGCGGCAGCCTGAAAGAAAAATAAAGGTTTTTAATTTTAATAAGAGAGATTTGAACAAGCATTGTAAAATTAATTATTAAATCTGACATGTGCTTTTAGTATTAAGTGGCTGAGATTTTAAGACGTTTTTTTGAACATTTTGGAACTCATAATAACCCAAATTATGTTGGATTCGAGGACATGCCAATTTTTTGGCAACTAAAGTGCTGCTATTTTAGCAAACCGTAGAGTCCAACGTTTACGATTAACCCTTATGTGTATCATTCAAAGCGCACATTGTAGAACTAAACAGGCGTCTGCTGTGGTGTAATGGTTAGCAGTGCGCGCCACCATACCGCAGGGCCTGGGTTAAACAATTTTTTTTCTAATAGCGGTAATAGCAAAAATACAAAAAATAAAAATACAATCGCCGTTTGGAGTCCCTTTCCTTTATGTGACAACATCAAGGCACGACCCACAAATTGGAGCAGAAGCGCGGCCAAACACTAACATATGTGTAAGCGCCAATATATTATTATTGTTATCGGGTTGAAATGCACTGGTGAAACGCTTAAGGCAGCAGATAAACTAAATCGTTCTTTATTGGAAGAGTTGTTACATAAGTAAATTAATAGAAATTTAAACTATTTACATATCGACGACTGAGTGGAAGACCGACCATTTCGGCAGAATTCGGTTAAAAAAGCCCTATTTCAGCTGCCAATTCAAAACCGTCCTATCTCAGCATATTTTCAATATATTTTTAGTTGAGATAAGGCGTTTTTTAATCAAATTCTTAAGTAGAGCGTTCTTGGAGCGTTTTTGAACCGGCTGCCGAGATAGGTCGATCTTCCACTCATCCGTCGATATGTAGTATTTAGATGTAAGGTTGTATTCTTCTTCGTAAACGGCACTGTAACCGCCCAAGTACCTAACTTTGGCCGTGTTCAAAAAGGCACGCTAGTCGTGGTTTCTTTGGCGGGCAGACAAACGCCGGTTATAAATTCCAGTTAGGTGTTCCTTTACCTTTTGATATTGCCAACGGAAAGGTGGCCTTTCTCTTCACCTGCCAACGTAAGCGAGTTTTGCATTGAAAACTTTTGAAAGCTGGTGTGTTTGAGTCCATTTGAATGGCGTTATTTTCCCAGCGCAGCCGTCTTCTTCTTCTTATTTGATGCTGTAACTGTCTAAGCGATATTTGCCGAGTATATTTTTCAAAAATCTCTGAAATTTTCGTGGTAAAGTGGATGTGCCCCTATTCTGAAGAGGTTTGACCTTATCAATGTTGGTTTCAACATGAGAAATCGCTCACAGGCCATATCCTATGTATGTATGTCGAAACTTGCAAATCGCCTCAGAAGAAAATATAGTCATAAATCATTTATCTTTCGCATTAAATCCATAGCGCCCAGCCAGTACCAACAACATATATATTAACATACTTACTTACGAGTATGCATTTCATATCTCAGTTATCTAACTACTAAATATGTTGTAAAACATTCAACCTTTTATTGAATACATTTTCAGTAGCGGCAATTCCCGGTAAAAGAGCTTTTCAGATAATTTCTTTTCGCCTTCCTAGTAACCCAAATAGCCGTTGCATTACGTGTCGGCCATAAATTTTTCGTTGCACTTAAATTGCCAAAAAAATAAAAAATAACTTCATAGACATGAGTAAATTACATTTCGAGAACAACAGATGAGCTGTGCGAACATGAACAAATCTTAAGTACTTATCACAAAAACAAAGATGAAAAGCATACACATTTACATATGTATGTATGTACTTAAATAACCAGAAAAGAAAAAAAACGCAGTCAAAGAAAATTATAAACTTTTACAATTACGACTGATTTATTGCATGCCGTCGATTATTTGGGTTAATTTGCTGTAAACTTGTCCCATCAGGCAAGCAACGTTCATAAAAAATAAAAGAAAATTTTCAAAGTGCACTTTTCAGTCAAACTGTGTGTTTATGCAGGTTTCATAGGAAAAATATTTGCAAACATGAGAGAATTAAGAAAATTACTTAAATATAAATTCTAATGCAATTGCACTGCACAGCTGTAAAGATGCGTGTTGTGGCGCGCCAACAGATGCGTGTTTGCGTGGCTGGTTGTTTGACTGCTCGGCTGGCTGGGTGTGCGTAGCAGCCAAGGAGACGACACAACAACAGAAGCGCGGAATGGTTGGAACTATCCGCAATAGCCGCCGTCATGGCATTTACCATATGCCGTACGGCGGCTGGGCTGCCAATCGCTGCGTAAGCGTGTAAATCGCACAATGAGTGCAACGAATGCACCAACGATGAGAGTTCACGCATTTTAAAATGTTACACATCGCTAAAAAATTAAAAGGAAAGAAAACAGTGATGACTCATCATGTGTTATATGTACAGGGTGTGCCATCACCTACACATAAATGCAATTCCGTCACCTGGCTGCAGTTTTTCTTAGTTAGTAGCCTTTACCTACGAAAATCCATAATTGCTTAATCGAACCATGTGGATTCGCTGATGAATTTATCGACTTCACTTAGAGTAACTAGCTACTGATAGGAACGATAGTTTTTTTTCTATACGTAGGTTCTTTTCGCTAGGGCATTAAAGCAGGAAATGCTAGACAAATTTTTTCACTATCTTCTAGTAAGAAATTGCGGAGAGTTCTACTAAAGGGAAGTCCTTTTCTTGCAGCATGTTTACCTAGCTTGATATATTAAGCAGAGCCGACGCAGTCGTCTCATCTGTATATCTGACCATCCGGTTCTGGCTAGTCTAGGAATATGCGCATTAATTTCTCATTGGATATTTTCAAGAGAGCATTCCACTGCCCCCGGCGTGAGATTAATCTGAATAGGATCCTACCCAGCAAAAAATCGGTAATCGCTTTTAGTGGTAACGTGTTCTAGAAGGCATAGCGTTGTAATGCCTTCGAATTTTTTCACTTCTTTTAGGCATTGTAGGTAATGCAAAGTAGAATGTCATACAATATTTCATTTATTTCGCTTCTTTGTTTCATTTTGGGGAATGCAAAGTAGAATGTCCTATAATATTTCTTTCTTAATTCGCTTCTTTGCTTCATTTCAGGGAATGCAAAGTAGAATGTCCTACAATATTTTTTTTTTATTTCGCTTCTTTGCTTCATTTCAGGGAATGCAAAGTAGAATGTCCTACAACATTTTATTTTTTTTCGCTTCTTTGCTTCATTTCAGGGCATGCAAAGTAGAATGTCCTACAATATTTTTTTTTTATTTCGCTTCTTTGCTTCATTTCAGGGAATGCAAAGTAGAATGCTACATCGTAGCCAGCTGAAAAATAGAATGGATATCCAAAAAATCTTTTTCTACCGTTAGTTTCTGTGGAAATTTGTCTCGCATAAAAATCATGTTTTGCTTTGTTCAATTTGCAGCGAAGTTGAAGTCAGTCAATGAAGTCAAGTACATGAGTGAGGAAGTACAATTTTAAGCTTAATTAAATATGCATGTATGTACATGCCGATTTTTAAGTAAAATCTAAATACCCAAATACATACATATGTATGTATAAAAACTGATTTATATAAATTTTAATTAATTTTAATCTTTTAACACATTTTATGATTTAATATATGTAAATAAGTATGTACTCATCTGGGCATTCTACATTAGTTTCTCTGTAAGGCATTCTTTGTTCGCTTCTCTGGATTCTGTTTATGCATGCGTTCTCCCTTCGTTTGAAGGTAATGCTGCGGGTAAGGGCTTACCGCCAATGACATGCCCATGTTAAAATGAGGCCTTCCTGAAGCGAAAGGGTAAGCGATTCCCATCGCCTAGCTCGTTTCCACTTTCGCTTCTGTGGTAATCGTGTTTTTTGCTGGGTACCTTCGACAGCTATCTCATCGTCTTCGGTGTTTCAATGTTTGGAAAACCAAGAAAAGAGAAGCTATCATTATGTGAAACACTGATCGCCGGCTGGCTGTCGGAGTATATTGTTGCTTTATTTTAGTTCCCGACTCTATTATTTAGTCCATCTTCAATACTTCGATGTGAACAGATACCCTCATTATCCGTCACTCATTTTATTTTCTATTCTCTTGATTAGTGTTGTTCCGATACGACCTTGTACTCGTAACCTGTACTCTTTAAAAACATTGAAGAAAAGTATCGATGCCACAAATGTATCGGAGAGAAGTACTCGATACCTACTCATATCGAACTTATTGTAAATACTTATGTCATGCGAAGAAAAACAGAATCGGTTCGAGTACTCTCCGACCAAAACTTACCGAAAAAGTAGCCACAAGTTTGTATCTTGCAAAATTTTAATAATTGACTAATGCGGGAAAGCAGGAATTTACACTTTCTTTATTCGCCAACTTAACACACACAACAACTTAAAACCACAACAGCATGATTCATATATTGTCAGAACCGAAATTCAGAATTTTTGGAAAAGCAAGTAAGTCCCCTTTCAGACACGTCAAGTCTTGCTTTCAAGTCTGCTCTCGTAGGCGAAGGAGGTGAGAAGAGAGGGGAAGAGTACAGATACCTCCGTACCGTCAATTCGTTTCAAGTTTTCTTGTCCCTTTTGATCTTTTCGTTGCTTCCCATTTAAAGAACCAAGGACTTGAATTCAATTAAAGTTGACGCGTGTGGAAGCAAATAGAAAACACAAAAGAGAATGCGAAAAAATTGCTTTCAAGAGTTGACGTGTCTGAAAGGGAACTAATACTTTAATCGTGTACTCGATACCCTAAGTACTTACGGGCAGGATTCGAGTACAAAAAGTACTCAGTACTTGAAGAAAGTATCGAGTAATTACTTGTAGTTACTCGTATCGGAACAACACTACTCTTGATCTGATTGCTCAGGAAGTGACCTTAATTTCTGCAGTAACCCTCAAGGATGGCGGCTATTCCAGAGACGACGGTGCAAAATTTCGACACATCTTAATAATGGAATATTGTATACCCTCAATCAACTAAAAAAATATATCCAAAGTTGTGATACGAATGCAACAAGACTGGTACAGTATACTTCAACTACCTGGT